AATCTGCATGCTCTATACCTTGACAAGCCTTGTAGATTGCAGTTATAGGAGCCGATTTAGCAAAGGTCCGCAGTCTAAAAAGTTGCTACAAGACGCTCTGATATGGGCTACCCATCTCCATTATGCGGGAACTCCTTTCTACCATGTGAAGCATCGCATCTGGGTCTCTTTCTCCCTCCCAAGGCATAGCTGGAAGTCTGCTTCGTTTTGGACTGCGCACCTTTGCTACGTCAGCACATAATTATATTTCAGTCATTATATTTTATTTGTTTCTGTGTTTCTGCCGATGTAAGGCTTCGTTGCGATTGCGTTCATACTTCGCGTCAACGTTTGAGTGCACGCTACTGTTTTGAGCGAGAAAGAAATATAGGTATCGATCCTGAGTTCTGTGAACCGGGAAAGTAAGATATCAAACTAGCGTTGACGCTCAGAACCTGGATGGGTATCTATACTTTCCTACCCATTCAAACTGCTCGAAACCCCGGCGAATGCTCAAAACGCTGAGCAAAGTATGAACACAGTCAAAGACTTTGCTTTTAATTTGTTGATCCCTTCGTGTAGTGAGCGATCAATTAAATAAACATGAACTTTGCCAACCTAGGACCGCTTGACACCTACTTTTTTCAGGTAAGGTTAGACGATGATGTCGTTATGGAGGACATGAGACAAACCTTCGATAAAAGGATTGTCGTTCATACTATCCGTACAGACAATGAAAATTGTACCCATGAGGTATGAAATTGGGTTTGTTTAATGATTTTTCATTGGGTTATTATAAATACCCCTGGTTTAGGTAGCACTGCCTCCTGACACGCCATTTGAGCCCCTAGCAGTCAGAGAGACTGCACCAGCAAAAAGTTATCCGTTTCAACTAGATGCTTTTCAACGCGAGGCGATCATGTGTATTGAAAACAGTCAATCAGTTCTAGTTTCTGCTCATACTTCAGCAGGAAAAACTGTTGTGGCTCTGTGAGTCTTTTTTTGTTTCACTTCTTTTCTATTACCATTTATGGCGCAATTCGGCAACAGGGGAGGGGGGTATTTTGCTTTTTCGCTACTTCCCATCGACATGTGGGGCCATCAAGTAAAGACTTGTGAAATCTTGTGACGCTACGTAGTGATACTAGTCAAGGTATGTGAACAGTTCTTGTCAACTCATGTAAAGCAATGAAATACATTCGAGTGGCATTTATCTTGGTATCTCGTCGAGCTTGCTCCAGCTTTACAAATGTTCATAGATTTAGCCAGAGCCAGAGACTTGTTGGAATAGGTTAAGCAGCAAAAAATGCTCCCTTTCCCCATTTACCTGTGCCAGACTATTCCCAGCCCTGCAAGGGCGAAAATGTAGTGCATCAGCGGCGGTTAACCGGCTTTTTAGACCAGTATTTTTTTAATTTTAACGATTTACTGCTCTCATTTGCGCTTCTAGTTTTCATAGCCACTGGCCTTGTGAGTAGTCGCATACTCCAAGGCGCAGTTTGGA